GGCAGAGAAAGAGTGTAGTCCTGTGGAGAGATCTCTGGGCAGGGAGCAAGAAGTGTCTGATCCTGTTGCCAGCTGTGATGCTAATATTCTTTGTGCAGTTGGACAAGCCACACATGGGAAGGTTTCTTCAGGTGAAAGTTGGGGAGAATTTGGTGTGTCATTCTGAGCTGTACCCTTGAAAACACATCCTGTGTTCCTGTACCGCAGAATCCCTCCACTATAAAATCCTTTCTTCAAAATATGCTTTAGGAGCTGCAGAGAAGAGTGTCTACAAGGACTAGGGATAAAACCTGCAACATCTGATTTCAAATCTCTATTTGTCATGTCTCAGTTCAGTGTGGTGCTTCATGGCCCCAGCGCAGAAACTCTCCTCTTATCTGTTGGATAGCTCACTCTCTGAGCTTTATTTTGGAGCATGCTGATTTGGAAACCGGATTACTTTTTCTACAAATTGTGCCCCAGCCTACTGGCACAGCCAGAGGTGTCCCAGATTTCTTATGTGCATCATTCTGTAGCAGCAGCTATCCAGAAATCCAGAAAGGTTTATTGATGTGGTGGCACAGAGCTGATTTCTGTCACATATATGGCAAGTGTGGCACATCTGGTGCTGGAGTTGTGCAGATGAAAAGAAATCATTGTTGGACATGTTGAACCTTCACTTTAGACTGTGGTGGCAGCAGTGGGTGTATGTGCGATTTAATCATGGCAGAGCATGTCATTGGACTTTCTTATGAGAGCACAAAGAAATGGGACTAGAAGTAAAAAAAAAAAAAAAAGGAAGATAAAAGAAACAAGCTCTATCACGTTATTTTTAGAGCAGCTGGCTTTATCAAGGTGAGGAGTTGTATGCAGTAAACACTGACTGGCTGTGATGAATAGCTATTCAATCAGGGAGAAGTGTCACTTCACGGTAAGAAAGGAAAACCTATGTCTGTGCTAGAAACAGTGACGGTAGATTTGTTATCAGATGTATGAGTTTTGCTATCTTCTACATTTAGCTTTCAGGGACAATTAAAGGTCACAAATGTGGCTTCTCGAGCAAAAATTTCCCTGTCTAAGACCCCAGCTGACAACTCACACTGAGCCTTGTTTCCCTGAAAAGGCAAAACTGATTTTCAATTACGGGTCAGCAGACTTTTTGCTTGAACAGGAATTAAGTCAATCAGATGCCAATACTTCCCCCCCCCCTTAATATATTTCAAAATCATTTTGGCTTTAGGCTGAGTAAATCCAATGTCAGGCACATTGGTGGGCTCAGATTTAAAGCTCCTTTGACCAGATGGATCAAGCAAGGGTGGGACAACTGAGTTGGAACAAATAGAAATTGTCCCAATCCTCAGACTTAATAATCAGCTTGACTTGACAGGGTTTGGAGGCTAGAGAAGTGCTTAGACGAATAAATGCTCTTTTGCATTTCTTCACTCTGGAAAGGCTCCTTGGAAGTTTCTTGTCCCAGATGAGGCTATAGGATATATCCAAGCTTCTAATGGGAATGCTGCTCCCCTCACTGAAGAAACAGTTTCAGCAGCTAATCACATGACTTTGTGCTGTGCTCAGTGAAAGGATGGTGTCCAGGTGCAGCCTCACATACAGTTGTAAATGGTATGCAAAGAAAGTGGCTTTGAGCTTGGTTCTACCATCTGCAACTTATACTGCATCTTCCTGCATGGGGAAATAACTCATTTTAGGATGCAACTACATCCCAGGGAAAACTTCCTCTGGGAAATGGGTTAAGGGAAAAGATTTTCATGAAGCTGTCCATTTTAACCTGCAAACAACCTACTTAATTTCCTTTGCTTTTTGGGGATTAGGGCCATAGGGACCGCTATTCTGCAGCACAGACAACTTTTTCCTTCTCCTTTTGCTGCAAATAATGGGGATTTGTAGAGAAGGATGTTTGCAGGATGTTTGCGTGTTTGCAGGCTACAGAGCTGCCAGCCCTCTTCTGACACCTGTACACATGAGAGGGGAGTTGTTCTTGGGTTGACACAGAGGGACTTGAATGTGGTTGGTTTGTTCCTGTGGAAGTCAGGCTCCCTCCTCCCCAGCCTGTAATGGAAAAATCTCACTTTTCAGTCTATTTTTTTCTCATCTGTAGAATATATTTTCATTTAGTTAGTTAGTTAGTTCTATCAGAAAGACAAAAAAGAACAATTGAATGAGAACTGCTTAGAAAAAAGGAAGGGAAGGAAACGAAACCTTAGATGCTGCTTAGCTGCAATGCTTTCTTTTTTGTGCTATGGAGTGTTCCTGCGACTAAAAGCTGAGCAGGCAGTTGTAGCTGAGGAAATTTACAGAGAAATGATGTTTTCAGAAGCTTTCTAGATCTTGGACAATAAGGAACAGAGAGATAAAGTTGACCTCGTAGATGCTCATCACACCTAGGCAGGATTCTGTGAGATTTCCAGGTGAAATCTCCCATAGGTCTAATGCAAGGCAGGAAAAAGGTCTCATGTTTGCTCTAGACTAATGTTGTAGATCTGAGTAGGTTAATTATTTTCTGCTGACCTCATCAATCTCAGGTCAAATTGATGTTCTCATCTAATTAAGGGTAAGGTCTCCTTGGCAGAGACAGGATTGTAGCCACATCTGAAATAAGACTTAGGTGTGGTATGAGCCATTTAGATTTTGTTTACACATCTGTCCCCTTGTAATTTTTACATTTCTATTTTTATTGATGCTTTTACAGTTTGACAAATATTTTTCATGAAGAGAAACATAATTAACTTAAGTCATTTATATTAATCAGAAGGGTGAAGACTCATGCAAAACGGGTAATTTTGCACTGAACAAGTTGGGTAACCTAATGAATATAGATGATGCTGATTTATGTGTTTACAGAAAAGTAACACTGGGGTAGGGGGAGTGGAGAAAGAAAACAGGCCAGGAAAACGCACCATTGAGTGATGTACTATGATTTCTGTGGAGTCCTGCTCAATAAGTGTTTCAAATGTAAATGCAACTTTTCGGTGTGCTTACTGAGACTAAATTACTCAGAACAGCAAAGCAAGACATTATTACATTCACTGTTTCTAAATGATAGGCTGACCCTTAGTAACACAAATGCGTCACTTTGTTAAGTGTTTCCACTCATTTATTTGACTAGGATTGGTAGGGCAAGGACATATTTCTACCAGGGAGAAGGTGTTTTCTACAAGCAAGCAAAAGCTAATATGAAGCTTGCTACCTTCTCTCCAGGACTAGCATCAAATACTTGTGGGAAAAAAACCCATAGTGTTGGAATGTCAACCTCATGGCATTAGTGACAAAATAGCCATGGAATTCAAAGACGACAAACTCACCTGTAACACACTGGATAGCTGTACAGCTAGATGCTATACAGATGGAGGGGCATTATGCCTAATCCCATTTGGTGCCTCAAAATATGCAAATTGAAGGCATTGTGTATGTACTGGAAAGCATCTTGGTCTTTTAAAAAACTGCTAAAGCCAGTACAACAAATGATTGGCCTTCAAAGACTTACCTAGCTTAGTATCTCAGACCTGGCATAGGCACTTGAAACCCCAGGGGAAAGCTGAGTAAGTCCTAATGTACCCCAGCAGTTGCACAATGGACTCTCTCATGTTTCCTCTTTCCTGAATGAAACAGGGGTAAATTCAGGCACAAGGCTTTTCTTAGTTTCACATCTCCAAGAGGAGTCATTACCTCCAATATTCAATGCCCTTTTATCAGAACCTGTTGCACCTGTGAACATGACAGTCAAATTCAGAGCTTTATTTGCTCAGGTTGCCTAACATAACTAGACTTTGGAGTTATATTTTATTAATCTTTTAAACAATCAATAATGAAGAGGAATAATCTTTTTTGGAAAGCTCCTTTTATCCCAGAGGCCTTTGGAGAGGTTTGCAGACTGCCTGCAGGGAGCATGAGGCAGCTGTTTAACAGTGTGCAGCTTAATATGTGCTGGAAAGTAAATAAAAAATATCACTTGTTACTTCATCTTCAGCAGAAAATGTGGGGAGATGAAATATAATGATTCTGTAATGTTTCTGCAGGCATTTGTCCAAGACTGCAAAACACTGATACTGCTGTAGTGAAAGATGGAACTTGAGTGGTACTGAAAGTAAATTCAGCTTTTGCAAAACCAGCCCATTCGTAGCTTTTAATGCGTGTTGCCTGCCCTTCCTTGTGTGGGAGTACTGCAGGTATGGGTGCATTTCCTTCAGCAGCAGGCATCTGGCAGCACTGAGGTGGGGACCTTCAGAGGTTTGACCTGAAAACAGAGCAGACATTTCTGCCTGTAGTGGCTATTAAGCACAGGCACTACGCACTATGGGAAAGGCTTCCATCCTTGTAAGCAAAATGCTGCAATTCGGACTGGATGTTTTCTAAAGATCGGGTCAAACAGAAATGAATCGGGAAAGCCCTAATGTCTCTGTGATGAGGAAGGCTGGACTAGGTGATTGGGTTGTGTTTTCTTTCTGGCTCTGTTGTTTGCAAAATGCTTCACAGTTGAGGCTCACAGTCCTTTTGGATTACAAATTGTTCTGCTCCCGAAAGGAAGGATCCATGCCAGTGGTTAATTTTCAATACAATTTGCTTTAATGTTGCAGTTCAGGCTCGTTTGCAAATAAATACTAAGGACTATCCATTTTTGTTTCAGTCTCAAAAGCTGCTGAACAGTTTATTCAAAGAATTTTAATGAATAATAAAATAAAAATACCACACATAGGCAGAGAGCGGGCTTGGAAATCTTAACTAGAAAGCTTCTCAAAATTATAAATGACTCAAAGACCTCATGGCTGGCTGGGATCTGAGCCACCAGGACATCTTCACTGTTGCGAGCCAAGTATTGTTACTGATTAAGCTTTACAGGGAGTTGTAAGAGACAGCCCTCTGTCTGCTAAGATCTCTTATATCCCTTGTGTTGAACATGGGAGACACCTTGAAAAAATGGGCAAAACTAGCATACAATGGGGAGTAAACACTGGCAACTTGGACTATTAAATTACTGCATGAGCCACAGCCAATGTAATCCTCATTCTGCACCTCTGCAGAGTGTCTTTATGGAAGCAGATCTCTTCAATTTGCACCTGTGAAAACCTTCTGAATCTAGACAAAGCCTGAACTACAGCTGTTGTACAAGTCATGCCACATCAGGTATGTTATTGTTATTGCTATTATTAGTACTAAATCTATTTCCGCAGATTGATCAACAGTGTGGAGTGTGTAGTTATCCATGGGAGTCTTGGTACCACCAGATGCTCGGAACAGAAATGGATGACAGCTGCTCAACAATATATTAAATGCTTTGTGATTTATGCGCATTTGCAGAAATCTCAGAGGATTGCCATTCTTTGTTTCACTGTTTACCATCTTCAGACAAAGCATACAAGAGTCAATGAAAATAGTCCCTGTTGAATGTTTTTAGAATAGCGATCGGTTTTTCCACAACGTTTAGCTTTGTGGTCCTCTCTTTCTGCCTTTCAGTGAACATGTCAGTGGTGTTGAGCTGCAGATAAGTGGTGTTGTCTGGGAGAAACTCTAACAATGCTGGCTCCTCGGCAGCCTCCTACACACAGCTGAGGTGGCAGAGTTTGAAGTGTGCTCTGTTTTTCTACACAGAAGTGGGGGTAAGGCCGTGTCTAGCAGGAGGGAAAAAACCCCAGCTCTTGGTTTGTTTGTCAGAATAAGTTTTGATCTGATAATTACTCCTGTAGACACTCAGCTGCATTGGCTGAATTCAGTTTCATTTCTCTTTAAATACTGCCACCTATTTCTGTTTCTCCCTCTGCCTTATGATATGATCCTGGCCATGGCTTTACCTCTTCTGTCCTTGAGTTGTTCTCTGCATCTCACTGACTCCTGGTGTTTTCTGTCTTCCACATTACAGATGAGAAGAGCTAAGAGTGATAATCAGAGTACAGCAGAGCTTTTGAATTCCAAAGCGCTTTGCCTACATTCGTACTGCAGATGACAGGTGACAGTTTTTATTTCCTAACCTGAGGAAAAATGGCCCACCTGTGCTGAAAGGAACATTCCAGCCATTGCTTGAGGGTGGAGTGCTATGCCAGGGGCCATGCTGTGCACAGGAGAAATGGTGTTATTTCTGTAGACATGTTTCTTCATGCTTTAACCTAACTAAACAGTCAGATGTAATCCCATAGGACACATGTAAGCCTAAGCTGCTAGGAAAACTTCAGGGCTGCAGACAACCTTTTTGTTGACTTTCTTTTGCATGTGGTATATAGTTTTGCCTATTATGGAAGAGACTTGTGAAATAAGGGCCATTCCTGAAGATCTGTGATCATGAACTCTCTGCTGGAAATGTGTCTATCTTGCTAGGTGGGCTATCTCAGTCAAATTTCTATTTAGAAAAACTTGGCAAATATTAGCAGAAAAAAAATTTGCTCTGAGCCAATGGTACCACTTACACTGGGTTCAAATACCTTTTAAAATACATTTGGCAAAAAAGTGCAAACAATTTCACTGTCATTATTTTAGCTGATTTTGATCTCACTAAGACTTCACACCATCACATTTCTGCAGTAGGTCTCACATTATTGTGCAAATATTACTGAATAATACTATCACTTCAATTTCCAGATAAAATATGTGACAATAACTGAGGGAAATGGTAAAATCCAGGTTAATTTTAGACTGGAGTTCACATATTTTGTTAAATATCTTTGCTCCCCTAAAAAGTGTCCTTATTTTCTGTCTCTCCTTCCTCCCTGAATTTTCACTTTCTGTCTTATATTCTTGTACACTGCCCTGATGAACTGTTGAACAGCTAATACATTCCTTCCCTGAGGGGTTTCACTCATGTGGTTAAATTGTCCCTATGTTTTGAAGTTTATAGAGCATTTTGAAGCTTTTCCTGGAAAGATAAATTTGTTCCTGAAATTATTTCTGGATATAAGAGCATGCCAAAGTGACCTTCGCTTTGAAGATACTTCTGAGTCCAAAGGTTGCCATAGTTATAATGCACTAGAACAAAAAAGCAGCTGGATCTTTGGTCCGAAAATCTGAAACTTTGATGTTTGGCTACAATGTCTACATTTGGAGTACCTTTCTAGCTGGTTTCAACGTTGGGGATCCTGTTGTTACGCAGTGGTTGTCCACAGAACGTGCACCAGTAACTCTCCTTTTTTTGGGACTGTTGTTTAATATCCAGAAAAGCTAAGAAATATAATGAGTATTTCCAAATAGTTACTTTCCCATGAAAATAATTACTGTAGCTGGCACAGTGGTTGTTGGCATTGCTGTGTCTGTGTGATTTGGAGAAGACAAGAGCCATCAGTGTCATTCAGTGTAAGGACCTACAACAAAACTAGAGAAAAAGCTGGAGAAGTTTTTTGCTCTTTTTTTTTTTTTTCTTAAGAGGAAACTGACTGCTAAAACAGCCTCTTTGTGAGCAAATGGAGAACACAGTTTTTGTAGCTTTTGGTTGTAAGGGTCTCATACTACTATGAAATGAGCACAATTTCTGTGGTTATCAGGTGTCCTTATTTATTTGTTTCTCATGTGCTGTTTTACAACTATACTTGTATCTAGCAGTTCACCTAAAAAGTGAGTTTTAACACTGCACAGTGGCAAAACAGAAGCAACAAAATTCTTATAATTCCTGTCAGTTGCCCTTGAGCAGCTGTAAACTGGAAGTGGGTTGGTGATGAGTGAGGGGCTTTTGCCACCAAAAAAGACAGACTCATGCAGGACTGAATGAGCAATGGATTCATATTCCCATACCATCACTCAGATATTCTCAGACAATTAGGCAGGGAAAATGAATTTAAAATTGAATACTTTTTGATACAGCTTCTTGAAATTACTTTTATTAATCAACATTGATTTTTAAAACATTTTTTACATAATAGTGTCATAATTTTTCCTGTTAAAGAGAGTAGCAGGGAACCTGGCAAAGGCTTGGGAACTAATGAATCTGATTTGGTATTCTACATGTCATGGCCCAGAAGCCAAGCTGTGACAGATTTCTTTATTGAACCTTCAGTCAGACTCTTTGTGAGACTCATTTTGTAAATGAGGGTTTGTAAGCCGTGAACATGGAAAAAGTTCACTGTCCATAACAGTGGATGGTTCAAGGGACTGATTAATAGCAGTGAACAAAGACTTTCACCTTGAAGGTCGCCAATTCAGATTTAGCCCAGTCTGGCAGTGACAGCAACTTCTTTGCTTCTCAGAACTGTAAGGGATAAGAATAATAGACAGAAACCCAGGTGGAAAATTGCACCACGAAATTATACATGGGGGACAAGAGGGAGAACTCTCACTAGGGACATCTAGTATAAGGATTTAACTTGTCTGCTGATCTCCCTGGAGACCAGTTGTGTTGCAATGCCTGTAGGAGAAGCCTCTCTCACTATGTGATCTCTGTGGGGAGCCTAAATGGACTAATTAACTTAACTGGGTCATGTAAGTACTGTCCCAAACATGAGTCTTAGGTTTGCTGGGAAGACTGAGAAGCCTTTGGGTGACATTGAGAAGTGCTTCTGCCATGCTGCATGTGCTGTGGCACATGAAGTTGTGTGCACAGAGAGTCTGTGAGCTTTCATCACTTCCTTGTCATGGGTATTTCCTATTTCCCTCCATTATTGTGTCTCTTCCTGGCTTTGGAATCCATCTGTAAGATTGCCAGGAAAGAAACTGTTTCCTGCAATCATGCAGAGCTTGGACCATTGAAGAGAGCTGAACCTCTTATTGCCTCTGATTGCTATTAAAAAAGCAACATGCTGTGTGGTGAATAAGGAGATAATTTCACTGATGCTGCTAATGCGGATTCTATTTTGTTGAAAGATTTCAGGGACTACATTATGACTGCCAAGAAAATGTGACTGCAATAAACATGTTCCAACTCTGATTTCTTATGAACGTGCAGAACCTGTGAAGATTTGTTCATGAAATGAGAAATTGATCCTGAAGAAATAGAAAGATTCCATCTCTAAACTGATTCAAACATACCTCCTGGATTGATTGGCTAGTCAAGAATCCATTGAAGATTAGGAGAAAAAACCTGTATCCTGTCTTGAATTAGGGATGTGGCCAGATGTCAGTTGAGGGGGGAAGACCAAATAAAGATCACACAATGAAGTGAATCTGTAGGAACAGGGAGAAAAGTGTCATAAGGCAGCTTATTGCTGATTAAGCATCAGGTAATCATGTCATTAATCAGAAAATCAAAATCAGACTTCTGGTTGATCAGGTCAATTCATTTATTCTTATTAGCAGCAAAGGGAAAGATGGTAGGGGTGACTGGCGTGCCTTCCTCATACTGTTTTCCAGGTAACTTGGGAAAAGAAGGTGCCAACAGAAAATGAATGTGAAATAAAGTGTGAAGGATGGTGTAGTTATGACTCCTAGGACAACGGGGTTGAGGGTATCTGCATAGAAATGAATGAAGCAGTTAGTAAACACATCTTACTACTGTGAAAACATGTTTGCAGTTAAGCTGAGGCACTATTGGGGCCATGCCTGGAGACGAACTTACCTTGGTCACATATGTTGTCACCCTCGGAATCAGGAAGAAAGTATGAGAAGTGTTATCTTAATAACAGTGGAATAAATCCTTTATTTGAAAAGATCATAGCTCTTGGGTTAGTGTTGAAGGCCCCAGCACCAGACACTAAGATTGCACCTCCAGGGAGACCAATGCAACTATGCAGGCAAAATGGAATTTTACTTTGCAAAAATTATTCCTCACAATGATATTTTCTTATGCTTTCCAAACACTCTTTACTGAGTACCTTCAAAGTAAATTTAGCTTCAAAACATGCTTTACCCTTCTTAGCACCTCCTTGTGTTTGCTGTTGCCCCACTTGCATTATGTCATTATGGAATTTAGGGCATGAGTGGCAAAATGTGATTTTAACAGTGCACCACTCACAATTGGAATGAAAACTGCTAATTATTCGCTAGAAAAGTTAATGAATGTGAATAACAGATACATCTGAGAGTTTTCCAATTTCATAAATACAGAAATGGTGACATTCATTGTATGATTTATTTGTTGTGAAGTGTTTACTTGGCTCTGCTTCTGTGTCTATAACACCAAACCAAAATTAGTAGGACCCTAACAGACTTTCTCATGAGATAGCCAGAGCTTCCTTTTTCAAATATGTCTAGAAAATACCACAACAGCTTTTCTTTTGACATTTTAGTATTTCCAGCCTCTGTTTGATCCCAGAAGCCGAAAACTATCAGAAAAAACAAAAGCATATGAGCAGGATTCCTTAAAAGAGACCTTTCTCAAACAGAAGTCACTGGTAACCAGCGATTCCTTCATCAAATCCAGTCTGTGCCTGTGTCCTGGTTTGCAAGAAATCACATTGAACAGCTATAACACTACCTTTGGGACCCTACCAATTTTAAAGCCTCCAATGAAAGATCAGGCGAACATCAAAAGGTGAACTGTAATCAGTACTGACTGATTTTTCCTGAACCATTTCTTCCGTATTGCTGGAAACAAAATATATGCTACATACTGCAGCAGCCCTATGAGAAACCTTTATTTAAAGAGACCTGTGGACACCCAGCACTGTGCTGTAAAAACTTACCTTGACCTTGTGTAGCCTAGCTGTCAACTTGGACCTTATCTTGCCTCTTCATACTTGAGCTGTGAGGACTCTCAGCTCAAGTCCTCTGCAGTGGCTTTCAGAGTTGTTGGCTCTGGAGTTTTAAAGCAGCTAAAATAAAGTTTTATAGTAGACTTCCAGTACCTAAAGGTATCCTGTAGGAAACCTGGGGAGAGACTTTTTACAAGGGCATGGAGTAATAGGACAGGGGGTAATGGCTTTAAACTGAATGAGGGTAGGTTTAGATTAGATACTAAGAAGAAATTCTTCACTCGGAGGGTGGTCAGTCACTGGAGCATTTTGCCCAGTGAGGCTGTGTATGCCTAATCCTTGGAAGTGTTCATGGCCAGGTTGAATGGAGCTTTGAGTAACCTGGTCTAGTGGAAGGTGC